AACACCTATAATAGTCGTAAATAAACTACTGATTCTCGGTCTGTGAACCATACTAAGGTCTCTGTACCTAATTAAGGTACAGAGACCATAACTAAGGTATATGTGCTATTATTATATGTAGAGGTACTACTATTAGTGGTGTTCCATATTTACCTCTAATAGGTTTATAAGCCATAGTTTTTTCTCAGTGTGCTCCTTTCTTACAAAGCACGGCCCTGCAGCGCACACTGAATCGGGTCACCAAGAACAGTCGAACAATATCTAGAAATTTTGATAGCTCATATTTTTTGGAAAATATGAGACGAAGAAGTGTAAGGGTGGTTTCATTGGTTTTTTCGTTAAATTTAATTCAGAAACACCCTTTGAATTGAATTCGTGGCATATAAAAACATGAAAATTTGAAATTTTAGCCAACAATTTCATGTCCGACCTCTGCCAACAGCTCGTTTGACATGCGGTGTCAGTGGCGTGGTGTGCTTTGCTATTCATCGATTTTTATGCCATTTAAACCCATGGAAATGGATCGATAGACAGGGTGTTCGCAGCGAGCACCTTAATAATCGATTCTTCACCATAGGTTTGAATCGCTTAACAATCGATACATCGCAATTCACGCCACGCCACCGGCGTTTGTTTGTCACAAAGTGACCCACTCAAAGTATCGAAACTCTACACCAGTGGACATACAGAAGAGAATTAAATTGAGTAGTGAATTTATGTTTAAACACTGAACTGTTTCGCATAAATTTAAATCACTTTGCTAATATTGGATTCCTGAGGGCAGTTGACTCAAATCAGTTCTCCGACGATAATACATAATTTAAATTTCAAAACATTACATAAGTTAGGGAGCAAGTTTCTTAATTTACTAAAAAAAACTCGAAACATCTTCCGTCTTTCTTGTAGTAGCACAGGAGGCCCAGACGGATCTGCCTTCGGCCTCTCTAATCTACGCTTATTTCGTCGAAAATGCCATATTTCATGGCGAATTGGTAGTATTAACGAATGGAGGGCACCATGAGTAAAACGAATCGAAAGTGAAGGAGGGAGCCTAGTACTGTATTTAAAAAAATCACAAATATTGAAGAATTTCCAAAATTGGAAAAGTTTGGCGTGTCTTCGTAACCTAACTATCTCATTCCTATTTCAAGATTCCCGACCCTTCTCTCTTCTCTGAAATTGAACATATAAATGACATACTCATGGAAACAAATGAAATATGTTTAAATAGCCCAGGCTAGTACTTGTTTGTCAGTCTCGATTTTCTTTTATCCTTTTTTACCAGTGCTCTTGCCTTGGATGATCATGCTGTCTGCATAATGCTAACCATTTGCACTTCGTCTCCTACAAGAAATGTATTGTTACTAATAAGTATTAGCCGAATACTAATGTATCATTGTCACAGCCTATCTACAGTTGGCAGTATCCTCTTATTTAGTCCATGTGAAATGTTTTATTGTATAATTTTTGAACCAGTTCAATACTTCTGTTCTCACAGAACTAAAATAGATTAATATAAATAATTTAGACGTCTCCGTAAATTCTAAAGGAATAATAAAAAATGCGGCTAATGCGGCGGGACAAAGTCAGAAACGAAAGAATCTGCGGAAAATGTAATTTTCCGCATAAATTCCGGTTTACCCCTTTCACACCGCCCACAATATTCTTTCAGATAGTCGTACCTCGCACAGATTGATCAACCTAAAAGAGTCACTTATTACGATCCCTATGAAGTGTCATCAACCGAATTCTAGCCGAGGTGCCGAACGCACGTCTTGACACGCACGGCAAATTAAGTAACCGACTCAAAGTTAAAAATAATATCACATAAAATCTTATTCGAAGGTTAAAGTTGAATGGGCCTGTTGCAAACTTTTGCTAGAGCAAAAATAAGAGTTGTTTCTTATAGATAATGCCTCAAAAATCACGATGAGCGCATCACTGAGAAAACACTATGGCTTATAAACCTATTAGAGGTAAATATGGAACACCACTAATAGTAGTACCTCTACATATAATAATAGCACATATACCTTAGTTATGGTACGTGTACCTTAATTAGGTACAGAGACCTTAGTATGGTTCACAGACCGAGAATCATTAGTTTATTTACGACTATTATAGGTGTTCCATATTTACCTCTAATAGGTTTATAAACCATAGTTTTTTCTCAGTGATCGGCAAAGTCTGAAATGCACTCATAACTTCACAATCTGCGTAAGAAATTTGCGTTTTTTTAAGCTTCCCGCTTCAAAAACGATACAACGGCATAGGTGAACATTTTGTTAGAGGAGTCGCTCCATCGTCGGCGATATTCATCATGGCCGACGCTTGCACGCACACTGAGAAAAAACTATGGCTTATAAACCTATTAGAGGTAAATATGGAACACCACTAATAGTAGTACCTCTACATATAATAATAGCACATATACCTTAGTTACCTTAGTTAGTCAGTTTTTTGGTGTTAGTACCTTAATTAGGTACAGAGACCTTAGTATGGTTCACAGACCGAGAATCATTAGTTTATTTACGACTATTATAGGTGTTCCATATTTACCACTAATAGGTTTATAAACCATAGCTTTTTCTCAGTGCAGTTCCGCGCGTAATTCAAGGAGAGTTCAAGGTCAATCAATTCGGGCGTGGAAAATATGAACGTTAACACACCGATTGTTATCTGGTCTAATCCAGTTCAGGTGTTATCTCGTCCCATCAAACGTGTTTTGGCGGTTTGGCGTCGACCATGATGATTATTGCCGACGATTGAACGACTCCTCTTACAAAATGTTCACCTGTGCCGTAGTATCGTTTTTGAAGCGGGAAGCCCAAAAAACCGCAAATTTCTTACGCAGTTTGTGAAGTTATGAGTGCATTTCAGAGTTTGCCGATGCGCTCATCGTGATTTTTGAGGCATTATCTATAAGAAACAACTCTTAGTTTTGCTCTAGCAAAAGTTTGCAACAGGCCCATTACAACACGGCTGTTATTTAATTTTAAGTTCTTTGTAGCAGTCTTTCTCGGTTGAATACTACTTCCGCTTTTCCATGGAACTGTCTACTAAGAAAATTTTCCTAATCCAAAACATTAACCCTAGGATCGTGCGCAATATTTATAAAGACACTTTCTGATTTTCACCCATCATTTTTAGGATTCAAGACTGAACATTCCTTGTTTTGTTGGAAATTAGCATCAGCCTTCGAAATGCAACACTTTTGGAGTGACGGAACAGTGTTTGCTCAGGTACACCTGTCATTCCTCGCGTGTACAGGCACATCAGCGGTCAGTGAGACGGAACGCTGTGAAACAAGATGTTCTGCATAGCTCGTCACTGATCGAGCAAAAATTACACCTTTCTCTAAAGGAATATTTCAATTTTTCATCAAGATGGAGTTGGCAAAAACTAAAGATGACATTCGTGACTGTGTATCCTAGTCGAGGGACCTTGTGACTTTCATCATCTTCATTATCTGCATATCTCGAAAGACATACTCGGTTGGACAATGTGATGAACACGATAACACCAATCTCTACACGATCATTCTGAAGACACATTTGAAGTCCTTGGTTTCAGAAGTAAAATACAATCAAATAAGAAGATGGACACATCCTGGGGAAACGTCGCATACGCGTGTCTTGTATAAATCGGAAGGAAACTACTGAAAGCGCCCATGCACCAATGTGAGATCGCTATTTTTGTGCAATGGAAATTCGGTGCGCAAATAATTAATACCAGCAAATTGTTCTGGTTTCTTCTTTCATAAAGGTGAAGGGGGAGGGGGATCACGTGCATTATTGATCGAAAGTGTTGCGGTTTTGTAAAACTAAATTGATGTTGATCGGTCGAGTTTACCAACAAGCTGTCGAATGATGCGTAGTTTGTACCGAACTACATCGCGAGTTAGGTTACGTTGTTTAAATTGACTGCAAATAATTTTTTTTTCCTCCGTTCTCAAATTTCTGAAAAATTTCTTATCTGACCATAAAAGATCTTATTTTAAGCCATGAATATTATGTTCTCCGAAGGAAAGAAAGTAATAAAATGACTATCTGTGTACAAATCGATTAGGCTGTTAGCTCAACGGTTATATTAAGTGAGTTCGATCATCTGATCAGGAACGAAAGGAAGGAATCAAAGACAATCCCAAGAATTGAAAAGTCTTCAGCTGTTCCCTTTGTTAACATCTGAAAGCTGACATGCCTGATCGCAAGTATTTCAAGTGCTCAACTGAAGTATCACACCAACAGGTTAAAGTTCTTAAAAATATGTACAAAATTTAATTACAAATGTACAAAATCTCTCCTATTACTTGGATATGTGATAATTTTTAACACCCGATTAAAGCGAAATTAAGTTAATGTTTTAACAGAGAGCGATCTCAAAACATAACCCTTCGGCATGATCTAGGGGAAGGTAAACAGGCAAACGGGACCCTTCAGTTTTTCACACAGAAAATAGTGAATGGTTTTGCTTGAACAAGAATCGCCCCTCAGATCTCAAATCTTCGCTCAGGATAAATTGCGTTATCGGCTGCGTGGAGGATGGTGCAAAACGAAAGTTTACCACACAAGGAAGCACACGGATGGAATTTCTTCCCGTGTATCAACGTCAGTGATCTCAAGCGGAAGTAGAATAGAACTTCATAAGTAGCCAATCAAGCGTTGTCATGAGCTTTATGATCTTGAAAATCTCGATCGAAAATTTCGTCTCTCTTTGTGCATTACTGCAGTCAATTCTTTAGGTTCGTTTTTTAAAAGTGATCCGGACTAGAGTCCCTTTATACTGAGAGTCAAGACAATTCGGCTCATGGATGTCACAAACGGGAATGAAGATTACAGAAATTGAACGTTTTTCGTAATCTTTGATCGGCCCATTCTCAGATGCCTTTCTCCGTTCCTCCTCTCATTCCGTCTGTTCCTTGCCGAACCCGTAATTCCCTGGTCCATTCCAGATTAACATCTTTGCAATTGGTGAAAATGTAATCTTTATTCCCGTTTGTGACACTGTGGAGGCCTAAAATACGGGAACCAATCAGAAATGGATTCAAATTGTCTTGACTCTTAGTATAAAGGGACTCTAATCCGGACTACGGGTCCCCTTCGCCGATCTTTCCTCAGCCTTATCATTTTAAACTATTTGTCTAAAAATTGCCCTGAGAATCGCTGAAAATTGAGCCGCTCAAAAGTATTATCAAACTTGAGTGTGGGTGTTACTGTGCAGAACTTGATCACTGTCCAACTGGTTCATCTGGTTCCCCGACGCGTAGTATTGATACAGAGTCTCTCGTTTCTGCAAACAAATCAGACAACCGTAAATTGGACGTATTTCTGTCATACGGAACTATGTGCATTATGGCGTGAGCCCTGTTATGCATATATTCTTATGGGTCGCAGGGCTTATGTCATAATGCACATAGTTCCGTCTGATAGAAATACGTCCAATTATAAATCTGTTAGTAAATTAAGATGACTGTGTGATTAGGGACGAGACTTCACCACACTGCGCTCTGCCTCACGGTTTGTGTCTTTGAGAGGCAATAATTATCGTAAGTCGGATAACTTAACATTTAAATTGCTTCTTAAAGACACGAGCCGCGTAGCAGCGCAACTTAATGGCGAATCTCGTCCCCAGATCACACGGAATCACCTTAATGTATGTCATTCTACAGGGTTATTCAAGATTAACGCACCACCGGCCATGAAGAAGGTTACCATTTAAAATTTTTGGGTTGCACCCCGCCACCCTCCCCCTGAGGGGATCAAAAACTGAAAAGTACCTATAAGTATTTCCCTCTCAATATGAGAAAAAACGTCACGAACCGCTAATCGATATCTTAATTATGGTACTAAAGTTATTTGGCCAGTGGTGCGTGACTTTTGAATAACCCTGTATATTTATTCAACAATCTTATTCTTGTGAGCTCAAGATTTTGTATAAAAAAAAGATCGCGTTTAAACTCGGAAAACTCATGCGGCAGTTCTCACTATTACCTAAGTCTTGGCTTCTTAAAGACACAAGCCGTGTAGCAGCGCAACCTAGTGGCGAATCTCCTCCCCAGATCACATAGAATCACCCTAATGTATGTCATTCTATATTTATTCAACAATTTTATTCTTGTGAGCTCAAAATTATGTATTAAAAAAAATCGCGTTTAAACTCGGAAAACTCATGCGGCAGTTCTCACTATTAAGTTTTACCAGGAAAGTTCTATTAAGTTCACTATTAAGTTTTGCCATGAGTGCAGCTCACTCCCAATCCCAATGTGAACTCTACGAATCTTTTTACGTACAACTTTGAAGCTCTGACTATGTAGAAGCTGAACGAGTCTCTTTTTAACTCATAAAAATTATTTTTCAATCAGGGACCGAATTTTTCCCGGCTTGCCACCGTACTTAAAAAGATTTAAGACTAGTCTCGACTTCGCTTAAGTCCGCTTCAGCGTTTCTGATTGACCGGTGGTGCGGTTTTAATTTTGACTCATCAATGGATGTTATATCCCCGCGTGAAAGAGCCGACAAAATTCGGCCCCAGGTCTTCGGTTCTTTTTTTTTATGAGCTGTGTCATTAGGGAATCGGAGTACGGATACGTTGGAACTGCGGTATCTTGCGATTGCTGTGCAGCTAATTTACAAAGATTGACACAACTCATTTACTTACCCTGTTATTTTCATATTCTCTACTTCCTATCGTTAGCCGTGCTTTTGCTTTGATAGCATCTGTGAGTGGAATCTGAGACAAACAAAAATTGAACACCTCTATAAGTAACTGCAATGAGAGGAACAAGGGGTACAGGCTGTAAATAAAAGTAATTTGACGGGACGTTTCGGGTTTCACATTCCCTTTTTCAACCGCCGAAAAAAACAGACAACTAAAGTTTAAATTTACACTTAAATGAGCCGCCGCATAACAGCAAGGCAAGACTGAAAACAGGTAAACAAAGTTCAGCCAAGCCGGCACTTTCAAAGATTACACCTCTTATCAATCAGCGCTTTCTGGTAAAAAGAACTGATGATAGGCAAAGCTAAGTTTATCGACGTCAGCGCGGGCATTACAAACTTGGTCCCTCATCTTGAGGATATGGACCATTTCTAAGAGACGCCGCGAAAAATCGTGCTTCTCGGTGGCCAAAATTCGCGACGAGGACCTGTGGCGCCGGGCCTCCCCGAAAATCCGATTGCAACTGATCGACTTGCTCCTGCGACATTGCTCCAGCCCCTAGGGCTTGTAGGGTAGCGCGCGCTGCCATTGCGCTTTGAAGCTGGTAGCTATTTAGGTCCGTCTCAAAATCGGCACTAAAATCCGGATAAGACTGCACACGGTCTTCCGCCAAATGCGGACTCTTCGCAAGAGTACTTTTTGGGCTCATCTTTATAATGAATGTTCCTAATCGCCCTGAAAACTGGTCACTATCAGCGTCGTTGTAGGCGACTCTTGGTTGGCCCGTCAAGTAGGCAGCGCCTATGTGATAACCAGCCCTATTTAGTCTTATTGCCTGGATTATGGGTGGAATGGAGAGAAAGTCGCGAGGAGACGGGCATATAGCCACAAGGGAACTCTTCATAATTCGCGTTGCCGCTTCATGGGCAATTCCTGCTCTGTGGGTCCCCGTAGGTAACCTTGTAAATCTTAATGGGGCGTCAATGCTGAGTATGAAAGTGTTTGCATTGGCGTATGTGTAAGGCTCCACTGGTTTAATATTCGGAATTTGTGCTGCGTTGAGCATATGCAGCGTAGACACCCAGTGGCCTAAGGTGTGTGCTGCGCTGGCCATAGCCGTCATATCTGACCCTGGGTATTTTATTTGCAGAACCTTGGTGACATATCCTGAAATTGAGCCTTGTCCCGGATGATGGTTCTGTAACCAGTAGTTTGCCTTGGATGCGACGCAGACGGTTAGGGCACTTCTTAGTGCCTCAACGGTGTATGTAGATTCGGGGACCGGGCGGCCCCCAGGCTTCTGAATCGGCGGTCGGGGCTATTATTGGCACCCAGTCGCCATCAGGGTGGCCGTCTACTCGCCTACAAAGCCCGAACATTACCGCGGCCATCGCGCCGGTCGTTAAAAGATCTAAAGCAGCCGGGCTCTGCGCACTAAATTTATTCCTTGCCCACGCGCCGGCAAAGGAGACTGCCCGGGTCAGATTCGCGTTCACAAGCACTGGGAGCTTGGTGTCATCCGGTAAGCTCGAATCAACTCCCACCGCAATGCCAGCCCCAAGGCTGCCATCAATCGGTAGGAGGTTTATTAAGAAGGATTGAGCGGGGACTTCGACATTGCGGTTGTCCGCCATGGTAAATCACAGATGTTGGGATCAACGCGGGGATGATTCGATGCAAGCAGCAGAAACGACGAAAAACATAAAGACAAGGAGAAATTTTAAATTGAGAAGAAAAAATTTAATAAACTGACCTATGAACTTATTGACGGAGAAAACTTTAGAATAGTACACGAGAAATTTTACCTTAGGACTAATTACTTATACCATGTGACCAAACTTATAAATAACAATTTATATTTATGCAAGACAACTGAGTGGTCGCTCTAATCATGAAGACATAGTGAACATGTCTGACATAAAAACCGACCTAACAGCCAAGTAATTCGGTGTTTTCAAATACATGATGTTCATTACACAACGAGCAATAGATGAAAATACAACAGACTCACAGAAAACTTTCTTCAACGGCATATTTCGACCCAAAGAACTAGGGTCTCCTACAGAGCAACAGTAAGAAACCAATGGAAATATTTTACCCAATAAGCCAAAAAATTAAAGAATAAAGCAGAAACTACCAACATATCTGGAAATACTCCCCAACCGTGAAATCGTTTACCGTCACGAATTTTTTTTTAGTTGTATTTTAGTGTATTTGCTGAAGGAAAAATACACTATTCATCCAATGTAGTTGACTGCACTGAATTATTTGGCTTTTAGCTCGATTTTTACATCATTCACTATGTCTATAATAGCGTAACCAGTCAAATTAGGCAATAAAATGCATCTAATCACAAATTTGTATCTTGGAATGTTTAAGTATCCTTGCCTCTATAGTCGATATTTTCACACCAATTCGCATTTAAACTGTGCAAGTTCGAATTTTCTTCAGTTCCTGCAGCTTTTGACTGAACAAGATTCTATTTCGGAGATTTGTGTCACTGTTAATTCGACCATTAGTATTCATGCGTACATTGCCAATATTTTCACACCAATTTGCTCTCAAACCGCGCAAGTTCGAATTTTCTTCAGTCCCTTCAGGTTTTGACTGAACATTTTATTTTGAAAGCTTGTGTTAATTGCTACAATCTCTCTTAGCTCGCCAATTTTGGATTCCCTGCGCTCGCCAAATCATTCGCTCAAGACTGAGCAAATGCCTCCCTTGTTTTCAAGCTGTCAGGGGAGTTTATTCGTACGCTCGGAATGAGCCTCGGTGCAAAATTTTCCAACATCGTCTCGGATTATCAAATTAATTGCTTAGTTTGGAGGACGTCTGAATGGATTCTTTTGGCTCCTCCAAAGACCTGGCTTCCTTGGCCTCTACCTTCAAATTTAATTTGATAAATTTGAATATCATTCACTTTTGTCTTGCTGCAGTGAAATTAACTTTTTTTTATTTACAAGAAAAAAAGAACCCTTTCTTTACCTTCGCGCGAGAGGCTTCTGAATGTGATTTGTAGCAGAATTCCAGCAGAGCAACAGCCATGGCGAGAATCAGTCCACCAATGAGGACGTAGAAAATACCAGCTACGTTGCTCAATGACAGTTCATTCCGAGTTGGATCCTAGAGACATTTGAAAAATGAGTAAGACAATACCGCCAATTTTTACTGTTATATTATAGTCAGTGGCATGGCGTGCTTTACGATATATCGACTTATCTGGCAATTACATCCATGAACAAGGATCGATCAACAGATGTTCGCAACTAATATTCGATAATTGATCATTCACGCCTCGCCACTGATATCAATGAAAGGTATCAAGTAGTAATAAGAGAATTGATGGTATTTTTAGTTGCCCTTGCGTTATCAAACGGAAGGTGTTGCTTGAACCCGCCGGGTTGAAAAACCCGGCGGTGTGCATCGGGTCAAGGAGCATCATCCTACATATATTCATTCAGTATTAAATGCAATTTTGATTGGAATTTCAACCATTTCTGCTCGCGAAGCATCCGTTTAATATAGATGTATAACAGCAAAAACATTTTAAGCAACGAGGCTGAAGAATTCAGACCTATCCAGCCATCCATTTATCCTGGTTTCCTGCGAGTTTATCGCCTCTTCCAGAGCTCTCTACGCTTTCTTGTTATTTGATGCCTTTAATCATCATCGTAACATAAAACGTGTAAAACCGAAATCAATGAACTCAAAATCACAAAATACTTAATAGACAGATTCCACCTTATATTTATTTCGTTTCCAGTATTAATTCACTTTATTAATTATGTATCCAGCCGTTTTTTTAAAAACTATTTCGCAATTTACAATTAACGTGGATAAAAATTCTTCCCTATGCGTTTCAACCTTAAGTGCAACTGAAGTCGGCTTCCTTTTAGCTGGCCTCTAGTCTCCAAACTCAATTGATTCGAAAACGCGTGAATGATGTCTGAAGGATGATATATGAGTGTTTTAACCTGATCATTAACATTTGTGGATACCGAAAAAGCTTTTATGCCCACCACTCGTGGAAATCATCATGAACTCACCCGATCATCGAGTTTGCATTCAGTTCGGTCGTACCACCACCTGTTCATCAGTTTAGCCAGCTCTCCATTTTCCGTCAGGGATAGAACTGCTAAGTTTATTGGATTGCTGAAACGGAATAATAACAAAAATTACCTGTTTATATCTCATTCATCGCCATACATTATCTAGAGATGTGGATAGAGAGATTATTTCTCTCATTTTCAGTGCACTATCTACCGGTCTATTTGTCCATCTGCGCCGTTCAAAGTACGGGGGGGAAACGTTGTCCTACTGTGTGCTGTCAGGGTCTTGGAATATTCTTTTTTATTCCTGTAACTGCTCTTGCCCGAGTTTTTAACTGAATACCAGTTTAATTATTGAACTAACTTTACAATAACAAATTGGACAGTTGCTGCAGCTCAACCACGCGTTTTTGGAACACTTATAACAAGCAGAGCAATGGTTATATTATCTATGTAGAAAGCCGCACAGTCAATGTTTCTTGAAAGGCAAATGTTGCGTTCCTAAAAAAGTTAATTCCTTTATACTCCGTTTCGAGCCCTTCAAAGGGCTTTTCAAATACTGTGAAACTGTTATTAATTTCTTGAAGATCTTCTAATGTCGGACCACCAGCTCTCATAAACACCTCGTTTACCTTACTTTTTAAAATGGATAAACTTGCACCTGCAAAACCTTCCGATTCCTCCAAGATCATTTGGACAGCATTTTGGGGGATAGTTGGGTGACAATATAATTTTGAAACTAGCTGTGAACTTCGATTAGTGACAAAATTCCTCATGTTGACACTGTTGGCAATATTTTGGCGTTCATTGACTACTTGTGCGAGTTTTTTTCAAATGGATAAACTTGCACCTGCAAAACCTTCCGATTCCTCCAAGATCATTTGGATAGCATTTTGGGGGATAGTGGGGGGACAATATAATTTTGAAACTAGCTGTGAACCTCGATTGGTGACAAAATTTCTCATGTCGACATTGTTGGCAATATTTTGGCGTTCATTGACTACCTGTGCGAGTTTTTTAAAGTGGATAAACTTGCACCTGCAAAATCTTCCGATTCCTCCAAGATCATTTAGATAGCATTTTGGGGGATAGTTGGGTGACAATATAATTTTGAAACTAGCTGTGAACTTCGATTAGTGACAAAATTCCTCATGTTGACACTGTTGGCAATATTCTGGCGTTCATTGACTACCTGTGCGAGTTCAACACGCGCTCGCAAGAAGCGCTTTCCACGCGCTTGCCACTCCAGGTGTACCTGGCCCACAAGCTGTGCGTGCGCGGGTGGGAAAGTGGGCGATGCTCACCTGAGGGGCGATCCGAGCTGGGTGGCGATGCCGAAGCCCTTGGAGTCGAGGTTGCGTCCGACTTTGATGGTGTCGCACGGCTCTCTCTCGTTGACGTACTCGTTCTTGGGCGACTCGATGAGCAGCGCGTACTTCCCTTTCGAGGATCGCACCCGCCGGATCCCCTCGTCGTACGTCGACACGAACAGGTGCGGCCGCGCGTTCATGAACTCCCACATCTTCTGGTACAGCGTGATCTGCGACTTCTGTAACGTTAGCAATAAAGCACCTTTATAGGAAGAGTATGGACAACTCGATTGAAGGCCTTGATACTCGTGGCGATTATCGCCGCGATCGAAAGACGGAAGCCAAGGGAGAGCCTTGATTTCGATATATCGACGTCAATGGATCGAAATCAAGGCTGAGTACCTTTATAGAGAGAGTATGGACAACTCGATTAAAGGCGATACACACGGCGATCAATCGCCGCGATTGAAAGACGAAAGCCAAGGGAGAGCCTTGATCTCGATACATCGACGTCAATGGAGACTCTTAGCACTCACTGGTAAAAAAAAACCTCTTGGACCAATGCTGCGGTGCATTGACTTAAGAGTGCAGTTTCTTGTCGCCGGATTTAAGAGTCTTGAACTCTTGTTTCAAGCGGATTTTGCATTGATTCAAACGGAGTTTGCATCGATTCAAGCGGATTTAGCATTGAAACAAGAGTCCTGACTCTTAAATCCGGCGACAAGAAACTGCACTCTTGAACCAAGAGGTGTTTTTTACCAGTGCTGGAAAAAAAAACACATTGGATCTTGAGTCCAGACTCGTGAAAACATTGACAAGAAAAAGGACTCTTGATTCAATCAGATTTAAGCTTAAATCAAAAGGAACTCCGCTCAAATTAAGAGGCTTGGTTCTTGATTTAAGCAAAAATCCGATTGAATCAAGAGTATTTTTTCTTGTCGATGTTTTAAGAATCTTGACTCGAGATTCAATGTGTTTTTTTTCTCCAGTGCTTTCGTCTTTCAATCGCGGCGATTAATCGCCGTGTGTATTTAGGTCTTTATGTAGCTCTTAGGGACCAAAAAGGCGACAACATGAAATACGAAAATCACTAGGAAAGTGCTGCTGCCAACCTATGCCTTTGGAAGATCAATCAATAAGGCCAACAGCGTATTCTAAACAAGCTTTCAAGGATCAAGACATTAGAACTCATTCAGACATTCAGCGGCTGAGTCGTGTCAAAAAATCGATTTAATTTAACCGATCATTTTGTGAAGGAAATCGATTTCTTCCGAAAATCGAAAAAAGTCAGCAACACGAATAGCGCCATCTGTACATGCGGCAATCCTACAAATTCGATTGCCGTGCATCGAGTAAGCTTGATCGGTTAAACATAACACTGTTTGTAAAAGTTTTGTTAATATAGTAGAGGAGCCATTCGGTTCCCAGGATAGACCCATTATTGGCAATTAGCCATCTTTTTTGCACGCGTGCCGCAAGTAATTCCAAAAATCGAAAAAATCAAGAACACTAATAGCGCCATCTGTACACGCGGCAATCCTACAAATTCGATTACCGTGCATCGATTAAGCTCGATCGGTTAAACATTACACTGTATGTAAAAGCTTTGTCAATACAGTAGAGGAGCTATTCGATTCCCAGGATAGACCCATTATCGGCTATTAGCCATCTTTTTCGCACGCGTGCAGCAAGAAAATCTGAAAATTTACCTTGAAGAATTCCAAGGTGGAGCCACTTTTGAGGGTGCCGTATTGGACCTCCGTTTGCGCGGCGAGATCCTCCGCGGAGTTGATCGGGGCGACCATCCTTTCAACGGTGAGGAATGCCGCCAGGTTGGCCGTGTACGACGAAATTATGATCAGCGTGAAAAACCACCACACGCTGCCTACTATCCGCCCTGAGATCGACCTGAAAATCAAAACATAATCCACGATTGAATCAGTGAGAACGAAAACGCACCAACTCTGTAACTCGGAAATGCTTAATTTTCATCAAAGACAGTCAATTTTCACAAAGGTCATTGAAGTCAACGCATCTGATCCAGCTTAGATTTTTAAGGAATCCTTTAGTACTTGTCCTTCGAAACCAAAAATCTTCTTCTTCGACTAACTTCTTCACCTACTGTGCAGTTTAGTGTGTATCTTGATTATTTTAAATTGTTTCGAGTTGGGGTGCTTTCGTTCTCACTGATTCAATTCAATCAGTGAGAACGAAAGCACACCAACTCCAAAAATTAAAATAATCAAGATACACACAAAACTGCACAGTGGGTGAAGAGGTCAGTGGAAGTAAGAGATTTTTGGTGCCTGAAGGCAAGTACTTGAGGACACTTTAAGTAAATGTCCAAGTTGGAACAGATGCGGTGACTTCAATGACCTTTATGAAAATTGACTATCTATAATGAAAATTGAGCATTTGCGAGTTTCCGAAATGGTGTGTTTGCGTACCCTCTGGCTTAATTTCAAACAGTAAAATAAAATTATATCAGTTGCATGTATTTAAATCGATTTGTTAACGGCTGATGAATAACATAATTGAGGTTTCTACGAGGTATGAATCAGTCTATTGATTTTTAGCGTAGTTTTATGGTTAGGTCGGCATTTCTTTCTTTTTGAGGGAATTTAATTAGGAAGAAGGTTTTACAAAATTCCGACACCTTCTCGTTGGCTGGCTTTAACTAACTTTAAGAAGTTTCTTTTCTTTTTTTTTTGCCGTAGCCGATTTCGGCACTTCTTGGCTTCCCGTCCTTGATGTCTGGCCCGGGGCCGCTGGAGTCCGAGTGGGTCTTTTGGGGTCTTGTAACGAGACCATCCAGGGTGAGGAATTGGGCTCGTTGCTACGTCCTGTTCTTCGTCCTGTTCATCGTCCTGTTCTTCGTCCTGTTCTTCGTCCTGTTCTTCGTCCTGTTCTTCGTCCTGTTCTTCGTCCTGTTCTTCGTCCTGTTCTTCGTCCTGTTCTTCGTCCTGGAGGTGTTCGTCCTGTTCGGGCTCGTTGCTACGTCCTGTTCTTCGTCCTGTTCTTCGTCCTGGAGGTGTTCGTCCTGTTCTTCGTCCTGAAGGTGTTCGTCCTGTTCATTTGGATTGGTTGTTGTCGGGCCTGGGTTGCTCTTTTCGGCTGAAAACAGGGGGAGAACGGGCAATTCAGGCGTGTTGGGCTGTTCTAGTCCCTCGGGGAGGCTTCGCTGGTGATGTTCCCTTTCGAGGAGCGTTATTGTTGCTGCGACTTTCTGAGCGAAGTCTATGGGAATCGCGCACCTAGTAATGCGTGTTGTGTTCTTGTAGATGAGCCTCCAGCACTTCCCGATCGAGAACACGAGTTTGTTGTTACACGCCCACTCCTCGGCGATGCCTATGACTGTTGCGGCTTTCCTCGCTACTTCTGCAGCGGTGTTGCCGCCGGTGCAGTAACCGATGTCGTCCGCGAAGGCATACACTCGGCATCTTGAAGGGAGGTCTTTTCTTGGGCGCAGGAATATTGGGCGACCCCGCCCAAAAACTGACGCTTTTAGGCGAGAAACGACGGGTGTTTCGGGCGAGGAGTAAACGACGAAATGAGGGAGGGGAACGGAGATGAAGGGGGGCTACTGGGCGAGGAGCTCTCGCCAACGCGGCAACGTTGCGTTGTCGCCTTATCACCATCAGAAATCAGAATGTAAAAAAATAAATAAGTAGTAAGTAATAAAACTCACCATATGTCTTGAGAGTTGAGCGTAAAATGTGTAAAAACGGTAAGAACGGTAAGAACGGTTAAAACGATAAAAAATGTATCTTCGAAATTTTTTTAAAAACTTCTCGCCAGAAGAATGAAAGACCTTAAATCTTTTTTGCTTGGTGCAAATATCCTATTTTTTTAATGTATTGGAAGCGACTTTCGTGTGTTCGAGGGCCCGCCTCGTAGGTTCTCCATAGCTCGATAGTTTTTTGAAAACGGGGTAGTTTTTTCTCAGGAGGGTGTCGGCGATGAGGTTCCACGCCTCCGGAACTCTAACTGAGCCTTGGGGGGCCCTTTTGGTTAGCCGTTTCTCGGCCTTTTCTCCGCTGTCGGAGAGGGTGACGATCCAGTCCGAGAAATAGCCAAGCCAAAGGGCCGCAACGTCCTTCGTGTATCCCCTAGTAGCCAAAATATTCTTTTTAATACTTATCGAAATAGCAATTTAATATGTATCCAAATAGCTATGAAATAGGGTTTAAATTAGCTGAAATTATATATAAAATATCCTATCTAATAACCCTATATAGTGTCCTTCGTGTATCCCCTAGTAGCCAAAATATTCTTTTTAATACTTATCGAAATAGCAATTTAATATGTATCCAAATAGCTATGAAATAGGGTATACAATAGCTGAAATTAGATATAAAATATCCTATCTAATAACCCTATATAGTGTCCTTTTTTTCAACACCAAATACCCTATTTTATAGCTTTCTCCACAGCTACAAAATAGGTATCTGAATAGCTATTTAATAGGTATATGGATACCTATTGAAAAGGTATTTTACTTTTGAAAAAGAACCAAAATTGAGACCTTGAAAACCATAATCCGAGATAAGATCAGTATCACGCACCATTAGTCTACTGGACCACTTAAAATCACTATTTCACTTCCTCCCGTAATCCCACGTGGAAAATTCATTGAATCCTGCAGTCGTGAATTCAGACGCTGACTTCAGAGCGCGCCCCGTGGCCCGTGGCGTCGCCCGTCCCGACAGTGCCGCCATGTGCCGCGAACTCCTGCAGCGCCTTCTAATAGTCGATTATGTAACCCGTGCAACGGCGAAGAGACTTAAAAAAAATGCTAAGATAGGAAAGCTAACAGGATATTCTGAGGATGTGCTGTGAATATCGGAAATTAGTACAATTGAAAAAACATCTTTGAAGTATCCATACTGTCGGGTCCGGAGTGGAAAAAGAGAGAGAACCGGAGGACCGTACAAGAAAAAAGGGAAAAAAAGGAGGAAAGGAAAATCTATCTCGGGGACAGAACCCAAGGCAACTAGGCGAACCGCATACCTAGGCATCCCACCACGAGAAGAAGAAATCATAAACTAAAATCGGAGAAACAAAGCGGAAAGAAAACCTGAACGAAACTCAAATGGTCAGAAAACAAGATGAACGAGAAAATCTAACACACGAAAAGCATCACCACGGCATGGCACTTCGTGGTGGCATGTCAGGGTATGTACGTCCTGACGCAACTCGAGGAATGAACGTCTCGAGGGAATCTCTCAGGGAATGGACGTCCTGAGGCAACTCTCTTTCTAGGGAATGGACGTCCTAGAGAGGAGAGAAAAGGCAAAAGACTTAAGGAGTCGGCTTACTCTAGGCGTTGCAAGAACGGGAAGCTAAGAACGGGGGAACTCTCGTCGTTGGCCTTCTACAGAGCTGATCACAGACTGATCGCCGCCGCGGGGCCACTCTCCTGACCGTCGCTGTGGGTCGCTGCGTGCGCGTGGGCTTGCGCACTGGTCACTTGGCGCCTGCGCACAACGACTCACGATCAGGAGTGGGACCGGCAACGAAGTCGCGGCAGAGCGACTGCGACTGGCTGGCGATCCCGCGCTAAAACTAAGCCAAAAACTAAAAAACCTCTTTTTGGGCGTAAGACCCAACATACACCCCCCCTTGAACCCTGTAAGGGTTCGAAAGAGACCCCGAGGGTGGTGCAGAAGGGTCGCTGAACTGAATTGAACGGAAAAATGCTAAAAATCGAAAATAAAAGTTATCTGTGAATTATATTACAAGTATACAAAAAATTGTTAAGAAGAGGGTAGACGAGAGAGAAGGGTCCTGGCGATGACAGCGCATGCTCCGATCGGGAGCGGATAGAGCTTGCTGGCCGGGCGCGTGTATTCGCCGTGCGCCGTTTTGACTCGCGCTACCCGCACCGCGCCGTCTGGTCCTCGCCAAGTTTCTACGACCCGGGCATATTTCCACTTTAACGGAGGTGCCTGCGGATCGTGAAGTAGCACGAGCGTACCAACCTCCAGATTTGCGCTGGGATTCTCCCACTTTGCGCCCAGAATTGTTGCTTGTGAGAGGCGCCCCCCCCCCCACGCGGATGATACCTGTCGCGTCTAAAAAGGGAGTGAGACGCTGCATAGCGATTGGCAATTTCTCCTGTCGCTGTAATAACGCGATTTCCTGGGAAAATTTTTGACGCTGAATTTCTCGAATAAAGTGTTTGACGCAAATTGCAGCTCTACAATTGAGAGGGGGCCCTGTCGGCACTCCTCTCGCTTCTTCTGCGCCCTTTTACGCGCGTTGAAAATAAATCGGTGCACGTATGCACACGAGTGCCGGAGTGCTGGCCAGGACGAGAAGCGAGTGAATTCGAAAATTGAATCATTTTTATCTGCTTTTTGCGCTACACAAATGATTGGAGTCTCTTTCTCACTGCTATTACTATCTTTGGATCAATCTTCCGTCGTTTCATTGGTGCAGTAATATATAGCAGACTTTGACGCTGAGTAACAAATTCAAGAACCTCACGTTCTTCTGGATCCATCTGATTTACTTTCCTCTTGCGTCGGGAAGGGTCCATTGACATTGGGTGATAACTTACATCACGATCAGTCGATACCAAACGAGTGTACAAGGTTTCAATGTGACAGTTATTTACTCGTTGAGATTTGATGGTTGGGTCAATACTTTGCATTGAGACTGATACATCCATGTCGTCTACGGATTCGGGAGGTTTATGCTGAATAGTCTGGTCGTCTTCAACAACCATTTCTTCTGGAACGTCAACAGATGGGGGTAGATCAAAACGTACCCATTGCGGTCGAACATCAGCCAAATCGTTATCCAAACCGCCAGTGTATCCCGTAACATCGTAATCCGTAATCACAATTCTTTCACGTGCTATGTTTCCACGTACTAGGCCATCTAAGGAGCTGACATCTCTATCATCAATTAAGTGCGGGGCGACTGCTTCTTCGGTACGAGCTAGATCAAGAACAAATGCTGCGTACTGTTGGGTGAGGTCGAAGTTGATAGAAGCGCACAAATTTTCCAACGCCGTAGGATCTCGCACACATTCGTAAAAAGTAAAGATTTCCAAAAATTCTTTTCGCTCAATCATGAAACGGAGTTGTTCAAGAGATGGTAAAGGTAAATATCCCATGTCATCACTGTGCTCCATTGTTAATCTTGCTGAGGTTTGAAAAGAGAGATAACTCCACTACAAAAATACTGAGAGAAAATTTTCGCTGGTAGTCGTACATTCAGTAAAGAAACGAGGGGACTGCGTCTTTATGAATGATAAGTGGATAGCCAACAAATCTTGTAATTTTTTTGCTTTTTGTGAAAATATCGTCCACAATATTCTTAAATGATGCGAAGGTGCCGGATTTTGCACTGATATTTTCGGAAGATTAGATGGTAACTGGGAACTGGGTATGTGCCCCTTGCAACAGGATGAGGGGCTGGAAAGAAGAAAAAAACCTAGTACATAGCTATAAAATACACATTTTCAAACATAAATTTTAAACCAAGATAAATGCGCATGGAATAGCTGCGAAATAGCTATAAAATATGCTATCTGTACTATACCATATAAAATAACAAAATAAATTGCTATAAAATAGCCTATCTGGCCGATACCTATTCGATAATCCTATTTTGCCCACTAGGATCCTTTCTGCTTGATGTTATTCATTACGGCAGGCCACCACGCGTGATCGAAGGCTCCTTCGATGTCCAAGCTTATGAACATCCTGTGTTTGCCGTTCGCGGGGTTCTTCAGGAAGTCAACGACTCCCCTTATTGCATCGACGGCGCTGCGGCTCCTCCGAAACCCGCACTGGTTGTCGGAGAGGACCTCGACGTTTGCTTCGACCAATGAGTCCCTCGAGCATCTCGCCCATCTCGGAGAGCATCGTCAGTGGTCTGAGATCCGTTGTGTTGCTCGGGTCCCTGTCCTCACCTCCTCTAGGAATGGTGGCTAGTCTGCCCCGCTTCCAGGCGGTAGGGAAGTAGCCCGTCTGTTGGCAGGCGATGTAAATTGAGAGTAGCCATTCCCCGATGGATGGGAGGGCCAGTTTGAGGACAAGGGATAGACATCATCTGGTCCGGGTGCCTTGCCGCTCATGAGCTTCTCCACCGTCATTCAGAATTTTTTTGGCGGAGAGTTTGGTTTGATACAGCAATTCCACTGGGCGTGGGAAATTTTTGAAAAGTGCATGAAAAAAATGTGTCAACCTCTGTCAATCACTGAAAAATTGTCCGATTTACATTCGGTCTGGTGTCCTGGACTGGGTGGCTTCATTTTTTGCGTAGATGATTTCTGAAATAAAAAAAAGTAGGGGTGCCATTTGACAAGTTTGACTTACGGGTGGGGCGCCCCGCGCCCCTCCCGCGGTTTGGAAAAATGTATAATACGCCAAAAGGTGTCCCCCTCGATATGAACGAACACGTCTTTTACCGTTTTTCGAAATTCCGACGGGTTCGGCAGATATTCAAGGGGGCTCCTTTTTCGTGAGACACCCTGTATAATGTGTTCCCTCAATATAGATGGATGTCATTATCACGTATTTGGTGTCGTTGTTACTTTCCTCAGTCATATCATCATACACTGAGAAAAAGCTATGGTTTATAAACCTATTAGAGGTAAATATGGAACACCTATAATAGTCGTAAATAAACTAATGATTCTCGGTCTGTGAACCATACTAAGGTCTCTGTACCTAATTAAGGTACAGAGACCATAACTAAGGTATATGTGCTATTATTATATGTAGAGGTACTACTATTAGTGGTGTTCCATATTTACCTCTAATAGGTTTATAAGCCATAGTTTTTTCTCAGTGTATGACGACCGTGCAAATCAGAATCTGGGTGTAGTCCCTGTTCATGTGTGCGTCCTAGTGATTTTCGGGAATGAAGAGTGCTACGCTCGTAATCGCGGTCTCGTCCCAAAAAGTGAAAGCCCAACTCTTCCTAAATGGCACCCCGTTTAGCATTTTCGAATGTGCAGTTCCGTCGAATCGGTTTTCTCTGATTGAATTAGAACTTTCCGGTTTAAATTTGGCACTAGAGCACTTCGCGGTGCGACTACAAAATTGCCATTTACGCGTCATGTCGGACTCCGAATATTTTACGCGAGAATAGTTTATAAATGCTTGATTGGAAAGAGCTGTGGCACGCAACGAACAGTAAAAGTATGGGTAACCAAAAATCCAGTGAGACTAAAGAGCAAAAAGAAACCATCGTGGTTTCGGGCCAAGCAAACGCGATAAATTTTGATCACACACCTGTGCTATACTCGTTACAAGGATTGGTATTCTTAATACTCATTTTCATCGTCATAGCCTACTACGTGCGACAAGCCATTAAATGGGTGCGCAGCGTGAATTCACAGTTAAAAACATTGAAATTGGCCGTTGTGAAAGAACGCGCGGAACAAGCTGTATAATTACAGTATGTCCGAAGAATTTCAAAATTTCGTTTCCAATGTGTATAAACTGCCTTTAGCTCGTCGTCCGATTTTTTCCCCCCAGTGTTTCGTAGAGTCCCTTTATACTAAGAGTCAAGACAACACCCCTCATGGAGTCACAAAAGGGAATAGAGATTACACAAATTGAACGTTTTTCGTAATCTTTGATCGGCTCATTCTCAAATTCCTTTCTCCTTTCCTTCTCTCATTCCGTCTGTTCCTTGTCGAACCCGAAATTCCTCGGTCCATTCCAGATTATAATCTTTGCAATTGGTGAAAATGTAATCTTAATTCCCGTTTGTGACACTGTGAAGACCTAAAATCCGATTAACCAATCAGAAATGGATTCGCATTGTCTTGACTCTCAGTATAAAGGGACTCTAGTGTTTCGTAGAATGAACATGATCTCACCTGGGGGAGATGTCGCTGCCCTGCTGCATGAAGGCCCCGAGGGCGAACCAGAGGCTGTTGAAGATGCTGAAGTCGTTGGTGAGGACGGCGGGGGCCGGGGCCATGCCCTGGTTGTGATGGACGGTCTCGGAGTAGCTGACGAGGCGCCACTCGTACGGCGAGAAGCGGGAGACGATGAAGAGGACGATGCTGACGGCGACGTAGCTGAAGAGGACGCAGACCCAGATCTCCTTGGAGAGCGGGCTCAGGAAGCTCAGGACGGTGGGCTTCTGCTTGACCGGCTTCTTGATCATGATGCTGATCCCCAGGGACATGAACGGCTTGCTCAGGTCCACCACCCGCTCCCGCTCCGCCGTTATCGTCATCGCCGCGATCGCCATGTCCGCCTCCTGAAAAACAATCCTCATCTTGTCAGGTACGTCTGTAGCTCAAGTGCTAAAAAATGTCCAAGTGTTTACTTACACAAAACGGTATATTGATATAATTTTTGCTTTGCTTAACAATTTAACCATTTTTCCCTGACAATAGACCACTGAACAAGGTACGGTTTAAGCAATCTGATACATGTTTCTCAACCAGAATTTCACGTGGAACACGATTCGCACAACGAAAATTACTGGAACCAACTCTTAACGAAGATATTAACGTTTTTATTGCACATTGGTTGCGAGGAATTTGAACTGCCCGCTCACAAGAAACTCAAAGCTCTACGTGAGTCAAATCGCGCACTACAACGGTTTCAGCAAGCTCCTCAATCGAGCACTGCTCATTTCCCACCACGTGTTCTTCAAACTATAAGCAAATTGTTATAGCTGAGCCAAAGCGTCAAGATTGAGTTTGCCAGATGTTCATATCGCAGAGACTGTCATGATAAACGTTTAGCGCGCGATATGAATCACGTGGAGCATTGAGTTTTCATGAGCGGGTGGTTTGAATTCACGCATCAAGAATCATTACATATCTTTGTACGGAGTTAATTTCGGTAATTTCTGTTGTGCGCATTGTGTTTTACGTGAAATTTCGGTTGAAAAGCATGTATCAGAATGCTTAAATTCGTATACCTTGTCTAGTGGTCCATTCCAGGTTACTCGAGCTTACTCGAGTTTTTATCCAAATGCCCCATTAGATCTGATTCTGAACCAGATAAAGATCGCCCTTAGTCTGAAAATCAGGCTTAATAATTGGATCTTATCAGGTATATGAAGGAATATGAACGCCAAGCATCAATACAGCGGATCTCTGTCGCAGTCTAATAAAAGTGCGTGAACTGGTTTCTCGGCTCTCTCACCAGCGGCAGACGAGACCCCGAACGTCTCCGAGGAGATCGCGATTCGGGACCCGATCGCGAGGGGGGTTTCGCGAATGGCATGGTCGGGCGGTTGCGAAACCGCGGGTTCCGGCGCGAAAGCGGGAGTAGACGATAATTAGCGCGGGATAGGTGATATGTAGCCGCGGGATGCTGCTCCACGCTTAGCATAAAACGGCGATAAAAGTGCTCGTAAACATTCATACAATGTTCGTGAAATATGAACCCCAAAGCTCCCACCGTTGCCCGATCCACCCATTCCCGAACAAACGGAAAATTCAGAGGATGGACCTGGTATGGACGCGTAGTTTTGTGGTACCCTTGAGACCGGTACTTCCTGAACGATTTTGATTCAAATTTTTGACACAAATTTAGAGAGCTCGTTTCCGGGCACACAATTGAATCGATCAGCTACAAAAGGGCTCAGGCGCCAGGTATAAAAATACGAAAAAAACCAGTCGAAACTGGTTTTTTTGATAATTTTACTTTGATTTTCCCCCGATCACGTTGGTCGTGGATTCTAGATTTTGGCGGTAGCTATTTCGATCATCAGATCATCATCAGGCCGCATGGTAAACTCTTTTTAAGTCACATGGTAGACACGCATTAAGTAAAACTTATTAAAAATATTGGTAGGTGCACCCGCCGCGATCGCGTCAACAACATCAAACATTTGGGGATCATTGGGGAAAAACAAATAAGGGAAAATTATCAAAAAAACTACAATGCATCTCGATAAAAAGTGCTTCAACTTCAGTCGAAACGGCAACCAACTCGTTCTAAATTGCAGATTGAGCCCTATAATGTATTGTTTCTAGATCAAGCCTCTGGAAATACATCCATACGCGACACCGGCTCTTGCACCGACAATTGAGAAAAATATCGGAGAACAGGTCTCAGAAATGTGAGTGCTGAAAGCCCCATAATGTATTGTCTCTAGACCCCGCCCCTGGAAATACGTCAAGACGCGACACCGACGCTTTTGTACTAATAATAGAGAAAAATATCGGAGAACAGGACTCAGAAATGGATTGCATTTTGCAAAAAGGAACTGGAAGAATTGCAGTGATACTAAGATAGTGCAACTTCATCCCTTGCAATAAATTACTGAAATCATGAAAAAATATGAAATTTACACGGTAATTTTTGTCTTAAATTTACAGGTTATAGTGAGAAAACTAGGAGCTGTAAATGGATAATCAGGGGTTTCTTCCAAGACGAAAGAATTTGCACAATCTTAGCAACATTGCAATGCTCCTGGTTCCTTCTTGCATAATGCAATTTAAATGTGAGTGCTGAAAGCCCCGTAATGTGTTGTCTCTAGATCCAGCCCCTGGAAATACGTACTGAGTAAACTAGGCGCTGTAAATGGATAACCAGGGGTTTCTCCCAAGGCAAAAGAATTTGCACAATCTCATAGCAACATTGCAATGCTCCTGGTTCCTCCTTGCAAAATCCAATCCAAATGCGAGTGCTGAAAGCCCTATAATGTATTGTCTCTAGATCCAGCCCCTGGAAATACGTAGTGAGTAAACTAGGAGCTGTAAATGGATAATCAGGGGTTTCTTCCAAGACAAAAGAAGTTGCATAATCTTAGCAACATTGCAATGCTCCTGGTTCCTCCTTGCAAAATCCAATCCAAATGCGAGTGCTGAAAGCCCTGAAATGTATTGTCTCCGGATCCAGCCCCTGGAAATACGTCAAGACGCGACAACGACGCTCTCGTACAGGTGACGTGACTGCTTCTGGCGGGAGTCAGTCGAGAAGTCGCCGAGTCTCGCGTGTGTCCTTAAAGCGAGTTGCAGAGGAGAGGGTGTTTTTTTTCCTGTTGGCCGTGCCCGTAGCGCGGTGCTGTAAGGAAATCCCTCGGGAGTGGATATACATCCCCGGGCGGGGATATGATCGAGGGCTCGTTTATCTCCGGGCGTTGTGGCTCAATGCGGAGTCGGAGTGTTTTGATGGAACGGGGTGAGAACGATCGTGAATCAAATTTGTATTAATGCACTGCACAGGCGAAACATCGCGTCGCACAGTAGAACGAGCTAATGGGAGAGGTCGCACGTACAATTTCTGGCTATAATTTCAAATTATGAAGTTTTTTAGTCACAAATTAAATTTCAAGGGGTTTTTCGAAAAGAAAATTTCACAAAGGAACCAACGAAACCACTCCCGAACTTTTTTATTCATATTTTCGAGAAAAAAGGCTTTCAGAGTATCCTTATCAGAGGCTTTCAGAGGCAGGTATCCAGATTTTTTTCGAGTTCACGGAAGAAATCGGACATAAAATTTCTGGCTAAAATATCAAATTATGAAGTTTATTTCGTCACAAATTCAATTTCAAGGGGGTTTTTTGTAAGGAAATTTCACAAAGGAACCATCGAAACCACTCTCGAACATTTTCATTCATATTTTCGAGGAAAAAGGCTTTCGAAGTTTCCAGATTTTGTCCGAGTTCATGGAAGAGGTCGGATATACAATTTCTGGTTATAATTTCAAATTATGAAGTTTATTTCTTCACAAATTCATGGAATTTTTCTGAAAGGAAATTTCACAAAAGAACCAACGAAACCACTCTCGAACTTTTTTTATTCATATTTTTGAGAAAAAAGGCTTTCGAAGTTTCCGGATTTTGTCCGAGTTCTCCTGTTCACTCGTTCCGGTGTGCGTCGCTCTATTTTATACCTTCCGTCGACAGATAATTCATGGTATTCCCATCTTCGACGAGCAAATGGTTTCCGTCTCATGAAACCTGCTCATTCGTTTTGTTTCATCTGATTTTACAAATAACAAATTCATACCTTGTGTTTATTCTTAAGCCGCTGTGACCGGTATATCGAAGGCTCAGGAACAATGCCATTTATAACTGAAGTTTTGGCATAACTGAATTAGCGACCTTGGTTTCCGTCTGATGAAACCTGCTCATTCGTTTTGTTTCATCTGATTTTACAAATAACAGTTTAATACGTTACTCTTAAGCCGTTGTGACCGGTGTATCGAAGGCTCAGGAACAATACCATTTAAGGTAAACCACCCAGTACCCGTCACCTTAAGCACCTTGCGAACTTTGAGAGCCTGTAAATACCTATGTGTATACCTGTACATACAATTTGTTGTGATATCTGTGTGTAGAATTACTTTGGCTTTCATTTGTGACCAAGTTCATTATAATCGGTCAAGTATTAACTCAACCTCGGAAGAAAAACGAAAAAATGCCGAAAAGTACCAGTTTCCGGCACTTTGTGCCTATCTCCGTCATCCTGACCCCAATATCCGTCACCCATTTGTTAACATCAATGTAACCTCAATTTTTGGGGGGATTTTTAAATATCAGCGGAAAATATGGAAAAATGAGAAATTGCACTTGAATGAAGAGGAACGAAACAAAATATTTATTAAACACAAGTTACCTACTTTTTAGTCTCTTAAAACGGAACTACTCTAATTTGGATATTAGCTGCACTGAAAAAAATGTTGTTTTTTTTTCAATTTAAAACAAAATTGTTGGTGAAAGGATTTTCTCTTTTCAATTCTTCGATATATTTTCCAGCACAGATGAGAAGTTGTTCATCATTGACAGGAAAACCGGTTTCACTACAAGTGAAGACCCGATTTACAAGCTTAGCCTCTTCTTCAGGGGTAAAGATAGAGCAAGGACCTTTTCTTGCATCGATTCTGCTAATGCCGTGTAGTTTGCCAGACAGAGTCGTTCTCGGGTCATGGTGATCTAAAGCAGCTCAGCGGGCCGATTATTGAAGTTGATCGACAAAGCTATAGACAAAGGAGACAAAAGAGGTATGGAGAGATCTTATTGGTGAAAGCGGGTGGTTGCAATGGGCAAAGGAGGTAGGTAATAGACTAACTAACGGCAACTCACGAGAAACCCGACAGTTAGTCTATCATTTTCTCCCTTTGTCGATAGGAACCACCCATTTCAACCAATAGGATCGCTCCACACACCCTATGTCTTCTTTGTCTATAGCTTTGTCCATCAATTTCAATAATCAGTCCGCTGTTTACAGAAGCTCCATTTTGTACAGCATCAATCGCGGCTAACACTTATAGCTGAAGTTTTGCGTAGCTGAA